TAGACCTGTCTTCCATTCTACCCTTATAGACAATACCACTGATAGACCTGTCTTACATTCTCCGCCTTATAGACAATACAACTGATAGACCTGTCTTACATTCTACACCTTATAGACAATACAACTGATAGACCTGTCTTACATTCTACTCCTTATAGACAATACAACTGATAGACCTGTCTTACATTCTACCCCTTATAGACAATACAACTGATACACCTGTCTTACATTCTACCCCTTATAGACAATACAACTGATAGACCTGTCTTACATTCTACCCCTTATAGACAATACAACTGATAGACCTGTCTTACATTCTACACCTTATAGACAATACAACTGATAGATCTGTCTTACATTCTCCCCCTATAGACAATACAACTGATAGATCTGTCTTACATTCTACCCCTTATAGACAATACAACTGATAGACCTGTCTACCATTCTACCCCTTATAGACAATACAACTGATAGGACCTGTATTACATTCTAACCCTTATACACAATACAACTGATAGACCTGTCTTACATTCTACCCCTTATACACAATACAACTGATAGACCTGTCTTACATTCTACACCTTATAGACAATACAACTGATAGGCCTGTCTTACATTCTACCCCTTATAGGCAATACAACTGATAGATCTGTCTTCCATACTACCCCTTATAGACAATACAACTGATAGACCTGTCTTACATTCTACCCCTTATAGACAATACAACTGATAGACCTGTCTTACATTCTACCCCTTATAGACAATACAACTGATAGACCTGTCTTCCATTCTACTCCTTATAGACAATACAACTGATAGACCTGTCTTCCATTCTACCCCTTATGGACAATACCACTGATAGACCTGTCTTCCATTCTACCCCTTATGGACAATACCACTGATAGACCTGTCTTACATTCTACCCCTTATAGACAATACCACTGATAGACCTGTCTTACATTCTAAACCTTATAGACAATACAACTGATAAACCTGTCTTACATTCAACTCTTTATAGACAATACAACTGATAGACCTGTCTTCCATTCTACCCTTATAGACAATACCACTGATAGACCTGTCTTCCATACTACCCCTTATAGACAATACAACTGATAGACCTGTCTTACATTCTCCCCCTTATAGACAATACAACTGATAGACCTGTCTTACATTCAACTCTTTATAGACAAAACCAGACAAAGATTTATTTGATTAAAATGCATAAAAAAATTTACATTCATATCGTCATTTATTAAGTAACGTTGTTAGGTGATCAATAATATTACTGATATCAATGTTTAATTCTTACTTATCTATATATCTAATAAATCACAATCTCATTCAAATAACTACTGTAATCTAAAAAGTTTTCTACTACACGCCTGTCCTACAAGTAATAATATAATATAGAAACCATTTTTAATAAAATAAGAATAATGAGATAGCACAATGCTACAATGGAAACTAAATATATCAGAAAAGAATAGAAATGATATTATAATATAATTATTAAATCTTCACCTGGTGTACAGTGTAGTTTATGATTCACCTCTTGAGACCAACCAACATAATGTATCAATGGAGAGAAAGTATGACACCAAAAATCATCATTTTCAATCTGAAATATAATTTAAAAAAATTGAGGATGAATTTTCAATTGATGTCATTTACAACGAGACAGAATATTTATATTACCAGTACCCGTTGGGGTACGGTGGGGCTAGAATATTTATAATACCAGTACCAGTTGGGGTACGGTGGGGGTAGAATATTTATATTACCAGTACCAGTTGGGGTACGGTGGGGGGTAGAATATTTATAATACCAGTACCAGGTGGCTGGTACCATCAATGTTTATATAATGAAAAGAATGGAAAGTATGTAATACAATCTCTTTATAAATAAAGATGTTAGAATCTGGTGTCTATACAGATGCCATGATGTGTGCGATTGAGGAAATTTTGCCATTATATTTAAGATTGTCTATAAATCTGTATATTTCTAGCCAATAATGGACAATAAACCAAAATGATGGAGCCAAATGCACTGCTCTAAACCTAATACATCTTATAGCATACAGAACCTGCGTTCATTTCTGTTTAAATATTTGACAATTGTACTGCAACTATCACGTGAACATTGAAAAAACAAAATAGAAACCAGAAATATTTACCTTACTGTCTTCATAATTCAATCTAACTCGACCCCCAATATTCTCATTAACTAGGGCCACTCTCATAGCTGATACACACATCTTATCTACTACCTCCACTCTCATTCCTTTCTTTAACTTCTGATTATTTATACAATCCTGTATCTACAAATAATAAAACAGAACCTGAAACATGTTGTTACTCAGAGTTTCACACTGTGCGACCTGACCTAGTCTCTCAGTATTGATGTTAGATCTAGTTCAGTCTGTGTCCCTACTGAAGTTTGACCATGAGTACTGTATTGGTGATGTTCCACTTGATTTTGGTCGATGAACCCAAGACATGTTGTTACTCAGAGTTCCATGTTATACAATCTTCAGACAACTGACCCATTTCTTGTTATAAATGAAAAAGCTTACCTTAGAATAGAAACTACTGGGTAAAGTTCTAGCACCTGTTAATCTAGACACAAGAAACGACTTCCAGTCTGTATATTTATTCTGTACAGCTAAAATAGATAGTAAATAGTAAAATTTTGAGTTATGTATCAGGTTGCAGGAGTTATATCTAGTTATGAAAATGAATAAAATCCAGGAATTTTCTTTGAATTAAGTTTACACAGGCATGATTTGCATATTATTAGAAATTTTCCAGAACAGTCTTAAAGTGCTGATGTAATTAAAAACAGATCTCATATAGAGCTTTTTAAAAACTTCCTATATGTGTACTGTACTGTACACAAATTCTTGGCTCTATAAAAGAAGTTAACCCTTTCAACCCTAGCGGCCAGTTTAAAGGCCAAACACTAACGCAATATATACCCAAGCAGCTGGTAAACCGGCCATTACCAAGTGATGTCATACAACATTAACATCATACGCTTTTACTTTTATTACTTGGAGTTCAGGGTATATGACGTTGTACTTCATTTACACTCAGGGTTCAAAGGGTTTAGACGAGTCTGAGGATTGTTTGATGTTAAAATTAAAAGTTTGACCTACATTTTGGAGGAACAAGAGGTTGACTGTGAGAGGCACACCAACCAACAGGATGTACATCTTTAGAACATAGATTTAACCAAAAATCTTTACTAGGATCACTAGAAAACCCTTCATAACGAACATATGCTCTAAAACCTACAATAGAATATACTTTATATCATTGAATTCAAATATAGCTCAAAACTACAAAAGTGAAACAGAATTTCAGCTTTAAATCCTGGAGTATCTTAATATCAATGGCTTAGTTATTAAGCGCTATATAATATAATTCTCCCTACTTCATCCTTCTCTTTAATACTATTATCTATGTTGTGGTTATAGTCTTCTTTATCAGATAGTGCTCTTAGTTGTTTTACAGTTATTATCTATTATCTGTTGTTATTATAGGCACATCTTTAATCATGATTGTTATTGTTATATCCCTTTATGGTTTCTATTGATTTACCTATATATCTTGTGAATCATTTGACTTAATAACTTTACCTGTATGTGTTTCTAAACGTAGTATGTAATAAACCTAGAAGTAGTATATCTATATAACTTGTGTTGTTAATGTTAACTGTATGTGTTTCTAAACGTAGTATGTAATAACCCTAGAAGTAGTATATCTATATATCTTGTGTTTTTAATGTTAACTGTATGTGTTTCTAAACGTAGTATGTAATAAACCTAGAAGTAGTATATCTATATATCTTGTGTTTTTAATGTTACCTGTATGTGTTTCTATACGTAGTATGTAATAAACCTAGAAGTAGTATATCTATATATCTTGTGTTTTTAATGTTACCTGTATGTGTTTCTAAATGTAGTATGTAATAAATCTAGAAGTAGTATATCTATATATCTTGTGTTTTTAATGTTACCTGTATGTGTTTCTAAACATAGTATGTAATAAACCTAGCAGTAGTATATCTATATATCTTGTGTTTTTAATGTAACCTGTATGTGTTTCTAAACTTAGTATATAATAAACCTAGAAGTAGTATATCCATATAACTTGTGTTTTTAATGTTACCTGTATGTGTTTCTATAAGTTGTATGTAATAAACCTAGAAGTAGTATATCTACATAACTTGTGTTTTTAACGTTACCTGTATGTGTTTCTATACGTAGTATGTAATAAACCTAGAAGTAGTATATCTATATAACTTGTGTTTTTAATGTTACCTGTATGTGTTTCTAAACTTAGTATGTAATAAACCTAGAAGTAGTATATCTATATATCTTCTGTTTTTAATGTTACCTGTATGTGTTTTGAAACGTAGTATGTAATAAACCTAGAAGTAGTATATCTACATAACTTGTGTTTTTAACGTTACCTGTATGTGTTTCTAAACTTAGTATGTAATAAACCTAGAAGTAGTATATCTATATATCTTGTGTTTTTAATGTTACCTGTATGTGTTTCTAAACGTAGTATGTAATAAACCTAGAAGTAGTATATCCATATAACTTGTGTTTTTAATGTTACCTGTATGTGTTTCTAAACTTAGTATGTAATAAACCTAGAAGTAGTATATCCATATAACTTGTGTTTTTAATGTTACCTGTATGTGTTTCTAAACTTAGTATGTAATAAACCTAGAAGTAGTATATCTATATATCTTGTGTTTTTAATGTTACCTGTATGTGTTTCTAAACGTAGTATGTAATAAACCTAGAAGTAGTATATCTATATATCTTGTGTTTTTAATGTTACCTGTATGTGTTTCTAAACGTAGTATGTAATAAACCTAGAAGTAGTATATCTATATATCTTGTGTTTTTAATGTTACCTGTATGTGTTTCTATACGTAGTATGTAATAAAACTAAAAGTTGATTAATATGGTCATGTGAATTGATTTTTAAGTTTTTGTTAATTGATGGAATAATCCTAGTTTGTTGATTATTGTGGTTTTTTCACACTTCGCCTCATATCCAAGAAATAGTTTAAATATACATTTGTGCTCTGTAAAAAGTAGAAACTCTCCGTTTAATATGCATTGAAATTAGACTGGAGATAAATGAGCAGGTCACAAATTTAAAGAAGATTAACATATAACTAACCAGCTAGTTTTAAAACGGACCCTATCCAGAAAGAATGATAATTTAAATCTGTATCATGATTTAAACATTCTATCTTCATACCAATTGTTATCTGTTCCCAGATATCTACCATGGGAGCCTGAAATTATATAGAAATATCATCTCATACCACAAACATTCATCATAGAACCAAAATACTAGCCACTAACTTATGAGAGTAAATCGTGAAAATTAAAAAAAGCACTGAAAGCATTTATAACAAAATAATAGGAAAATATTACTTCACTGATTCATTTCAAGAGAAATACAGCAAAATATTTAAATCTTAAAGATCATGTCCATGTATGTACAGTCTGGATAAACAAAAAAAGATTTTTTGACCTTTCTTGATCGGTCAGTCAATGTAATTCTGCTAATTTAGCTAATTATGAATTAATTATGGATATGTGAGACAAACTGGTATTTTTCCAAGTCATTAGAACACCTCTACTTTCTATTCATATAAGTATTAGCATTTTCATTTCCATAAATGAAAATAAGGGAACCCATCTTTAACACATTTTGGCTGAGAGGGTCGGATACTGACAGAAAATAACTGGACACAATTATATAACAATTACTTTAATAAATAACTTCGTCTTTATCAAACAATCATCGTGGAAACATCGCAAGTTATTTATTAAAGTAATTGTTATAATTATGTACAGTTATTTATACCCTAGTTACCCTGTCAATTAAGGAAGTTACTGAAGTCTAATTTATAAAATATTATCTTAATAGAACTAGCTGTAAACATGATTAGTGACTGTCTTCAAGTGAACTTTTAATTGATTTTAAACCTGAATTTATTGAGATTGTCAGTAGGGAATAATGCCATGTATCAGAATTAATCTATATACTAATCTAAACCAGGCGGATAAACCTTCATTAATAGAGTTCTGACAAGGTTTGAAAAACTTAAAAACACAAAAATACTATCATCAGAGATAGTGTACTTACGTGAGCAAAACATAAAATAGAGGCTCCCTCTCCACAGCCGGAGGTAAGATATGGTCCCCAGTCAAATCCCCGTACTGTATCTATAAATAAACATTAACAAATAGCAAATTTCACATTTTGATTTATAAATGAAATGAATGGAGTTTTACGTCCTATTTTTCTGCACCATGTGGGTGCAATGAAGGAAATTTTGAAAGGCAGTGGCATTAGCCTGCTCTTTTTAGATTTCCAACGGCAAGCAAAGTCATTTTGATTGGTATAAATTCACAAATCTAATTTAATAAAGATAGTGGACCACAGCCATATACCCCCACCACAGCATGCGGATGGTAAATATTCAAGATTTTGGGGCAAGGGCAATAACTCTGCTTCTAACGGTCGAAAATAGCTCAAATATACACATACCGAATTTCATTTGATTTCATCAAAAAATCTAGTTTCTAGAGCGTTTACAAGCAAATGTTGATGGACGGGTGGACGGACGGACTGAAAGGGATGCCGACAATATACGTCACATAGAGAGATGTGGGCGTATAAAAATGGAACCACTATCTAATGATTATAATAAATTAACTACCTCCTCTGTTATTTAAACTGCTAGATTTTGACATGGGTTTCTTGCTGTTTAAATGTTTAGAACTCTACAAAATAATCAAATATAAAAATATATGTTTGAGCTATATATATCTATAAACTGATTTCTACTTAAAAACCTTTCAGAGACATAGACTAAAAACATCCAATAAGATTCATAAAGTTTTTAAATTGTAAATTATACCCATAGTAAAATATCACTTATTCATTTAAACTTGATATTCTACAAGTAGCTGTAATTTACCTTTTTAACAATCAGTGGTTTTGTTGGTAATGGTTTTCCCTCTCGTTGAGCTGTAGCAAAACTTCTAGAACATGATAAACTACAGAATCTTTTAGATTTAGAGTAAAATGCATGTTTAATTCCCACAGTTCCACACTTCTCACATGTAGCTGGAATTTAAAATAAAAACAACATACAGCCATCTCCATCTTACATGCGACAAATATCATGTTCAGGAAAAGTAAATGAGTAGAGTTGAGTTATTTTTCAAACTGGCCAAACCAATTTTTTTTACATCTTTTTTTAACCTTGAACAAATCTTATCTTATAAACTGGTACAAATATCTTATACAGAGAACCAACTAAATCTGTCAGTATTGTCTTCAATCAATATTATAATTCAAAAGATTTCTATATTGTACACAGAATATATCAATAAAAATAACCTAAAAATGTTTACCCATGCCATCTTTTCCATTCATAAATCTAAACGGAGAGGGTTTAGAGGGAATAATGCCTTTAAGATGAGCAGCTAGTAATTCTCCACGTGGCAGATCTTCCTCCTCTTCCTCAGAACTCTCCCCCGACTCGTTATAACTATCGTAACCATCATACATTCCAATATTAGACATGTAGTCATCTTCTCCCTTCAAATATTTTGATAAAATTTGAGTACCAACAGATAATTTTCATGTTATATTCTTCTCTTTATTTTAAAAGCTAACAAAACTTAACTAAGCCAGTTAGTACTTTGAAATTAATAGTTTTTGAGCACGGCTGACCCTGGCCTATGCTTTTTATGAGTTGTATTCTAAGTTCATTTCAACACCCCCAAACAATACAAATGAGCCTTTACAGCAAGGAAAAGCCTGCTCATTATGACTGTTAGAATCATTGAACGAACCCCTTCCACCATTAAATACTTCCTTACAAATACTTGTGTCAATAAACCATACTGTGAGTTTGAGAAATAACCTCCCACTCCTTAAACATTGAATAAAATTGAGACGAGAACTCACCCCTAATGTACTGCCCCCACAAACTGAATCTGATCTGCCATCAATAGAATCCATGGTGGATTCATCATTCTTATTGTAACTTTCTATCATTGAATCCATCTCATTATTTCCATTAAACTCATACTCTGAATAGTAATTCAATACAACATTATTTTCATGCTGGGTTACAGACGGATTAAAATATTTGTGCTAATTAGACTGGCATACATTTATTATCTACAAAAATTTATGAATCTGGATTAAAATCAATGGATTACACAATAACTAGCTACACGAAACACAAATATCAATAGAATATTTACCTTGGTCTTCTGTGTCCTAAAAGCAGAGAAAACAGAAATTTAGCTTACTGTACTAACAGAATAAAATCGAAGTAAAATTCTTATTTCTTAAAAATAATGATTTGATTTAGGACTACAACTTTATGTTTATCATTTTGACTTTTCGGAGGCCTACTTTTTTAGTTTTAGAAGTTGTTGCAGAAAAAATTCAAGAATTGCATCTATCTGTATTCAACGACAGACTGCACCCAAAGCTTATTTCGCTGTCTAAAAATCGACATAAACATGCAGGCATACTTTCCAGATGAATTTACAACCCCAAAAATAGTGTCATTATTACTACAGACAAGTTCTTAATTGAATGAACCAAATCAAAACAAACAACTTCAGCTGAAAATCCATAACAAATTTAGAAATTTGAAGTTGACAGCCGTCGGAAATTTTTCGAATCCAGTTTTTGAAATGATGCAGGTGTTGATTTCAGTGACTGTCAACTTCTTACTTACCATGACTACTTTTCTGGAAAAAATTTCATTCAGAAAGTGCAGTGGTTTTCCTCAGATCGCAGCATGAAATTTGCCAAATGATAAAACGTAACTGGTCCCTGGATTTTCGGGACAACAAAGGCAACCTCAATACGCATGCTCAGTGAACTTATGTTGATGATTGTAAACAATATTCTCATTGGTTGATTTTTTATGTATTTCTGCACCACTTTATTTTAATCCAATCAAAATCCTTAAAAGGCAACAGGAAACCATTTTTTTCCCGCGGCACTATGTCAACTCTGCGCATGAATCAAAAATACTACTTCCGTATTTACATTCAAGCAAAAAAAAAAAATAAAAACAAACCAAAAATGTAATCCTTTCTCTTTACAAATTGTTTGAAAACCTTCTATTGAATAGTTGATTCATATCTTTGCCCTTTTGTGGAATAACACTAATATCACTAAAAATAAGGGAAAGAAAGAGGGGGGGGGGAGGGGAGATTCAAAGTTAAAACCAAGACTGCAAGAGACATAAGGTTATCTTTATAAGCTTATAGGCATGGCTTCGCTGCAACTTGTCGATAGATAAAATAAAAAAATGTCAATGCAAGTAATCAGATTAAAAGACTGCTGCTAACTTTGTCTTAAAAATAAATCACTGTTACGCCAATTTTGCTCAGGGTTTGTCCTATTCTCTATTTCCAGGTCGGAATATTGGAAGTCGAATCCAAGAAAATTTTGTGATTTTTGTAAATGTTGGATCTCAGATAACAAGCCTGTAAGTTTGTGGAATGGTTCGTTTTTTACCATTTTAAATGTGATACTGTAAAAGTTGTGTTTTTGGTGTTGCTAAGGATGCAGAGCCTGTTTAGTCATCTAGAACACCTACTGCCATTCTGTGATTCCATTTTAAGAATCTCGAAAGCAATTTAAGTTTATTTTATAATATTTATGTAATTGAATTGACACGACTAAAGGTCAACCCCTGCTATCTGTTCCAGATACACAATCCTCATCAGAGCAGTTTGTTCTAGGAATAGGGCTACACACTTTGTAATGAAGGATATACTTTCTTAATTTTTTAGTGAATGTCTTTTAGCTTTAAGTTTATTAAATGTTTTTCTTATTTTGTAGAGTATAGAATTTCATGAAAGAGGAAAACGACACAAAGAAAATGTACAGAACAGAATCAATGAGGTAATCAAATATATTTACAGATTTAACATTTTCAAATCAAATAATTTTATTGGAACTGCAGGTACCAGATTAATAATATTTCAATTGAGAAACCCTGTAAATACTAAATTAAAAACATGACAAAATTCTTAATTTCATGGGTAATTTTTGCGTCAAAGAAGTATATTCTTGCTTTGATCTGTTATTATAGTTTATTGCGGTTAGGTTATGCGCTGAAGGGAAACTATGTGGAAGAGATTACTACTTGTTAACGGGTACAGTGGAGAAAATATAACTTAGACATATAATTGATTACGAAATTTGATAATAGAAATTATAAATTTGTGGCGACAATAATCGATTATTTCACTCAGTCCTAATTATTTCTAGTTTTTTTTATTGGATACAAAGATTTGTATTATTATACAGGTTAGAAAAAGTAGTGAGAAGAAAGCAAAAGAAAAAGCAGAATTTGATGATGATATTGCTGCCATGGAAAAGGTAATCATGATAATTTCAGAAAGTTGAATTAAATTCTTGAAAAAGAACAATCTTTTGAATTCCTGAATTAAAAGGACTATATCATGTTCGCTAAGTTTTCTTGGCCAGATATTGATATATTCCCTTTCACTTTTTTTTTCATTCTATTGTTCAGTTAAACTCTCTTTATGATATATTGTTTCAATACTAATGGATTGACTTTCATCAATTATTTAACGAATGAAGCAGGTCATGTGCGTCTTGTCACATGATAAACCAACGTTTATTTCCCCATAACGATAACAAGATCCATATTCATTCCTTATATTTACATTGGTTTATCTTTTCTGCTCAAATACGCCAAAATGATCTATTTTTGAATTGTAAAAATACCGAACGATCCAACTCTAGGTAAAATTTTTTTGGATGTATTCATACGCCTCATTGTCACGTGACAAAGTACAGTTATTTGAAAATAAACGCTGCCGTGTTTGGCTAACTGGATTATTGAAGGGAGTGATAGTAGAAATGTCAATATTTGTTGTTATTTTTCAGGCCGCCCTGGCAGCATTTAGAAAAGATTTAGAGAGTAACCCAGCATTGGCTGATCATTATAAAGCTAAAGCAATAGCTGCTAAAGAAGGTATGTAATAAAATTTCTAATCAAGGAATCAATTTGTTTTGATTGAGAATATCTTTGAATTATTGACTAGAGTTTGTGTCCTGTTTCTGTTAATATTGTTTCAGACGTGACTCTTATTTCCCTAGCCAGTATTTCACATCATAGGGACTTGTTCAGTTGAGAATCAACCAAATATCCCTACATCTTAATGTATTATGTATCTTAATTAGCCATACTGGAGTATATAGTATGGAATTTTGTATCCAACATTTTGAGTTTTGACAGGACAGGACTAATCAACACACTAAACTACGTATGGTTCTTACATGGAAATAACACACACGAATATAGTTTACAATCTCAATATATCAAAGTTTGAAAGGCTACGAATAATATTTCAATTTATATATAATATTATATTATAGCCTTTTTAATAATTTTACTTATTACAGGGTTCACACAGCCTTGAAAAACCCTTGAATTCAAAAAGTCTTTGAAAACACCATAAAAAACCCATTTTCTCTTGAAAAGTCCTTGAATTTTGAGTTGAGTCAAATTGTGTATATTTTTATCATTAACACCATTGACAAATATTAACTATCTTTATTGATTTCACAGTTCAGAAGTAAGGTACATGTGTATTCTGTCAGACTAATATCCTTGAAAAGTCTTTGAATTCTTGAGGCAAAGTGCTGTATGAACCCTGTATTAGGTCGAGGTCGAGGTAGAGATATAAAATGGTTATAAACTATATTTGTGTGTGTTATTTCTATTTAAGAATCATACGTAGTTTCATATGTTGATTAGCCCTGTCCTATCAAAACTAGAAAACAAAACTCCATTTCATTTCCATCAAGGTGATCCCATCTGATTTTATCTGATTTGATCTGATTTTGTATGATTTTATCTGATTTGATCTGATTTTGTATGATTTTATCTGATTTTATCTGATTATTTTATCTGATTATTTTATCTGATTATTTGATCTGATTATTTGATCTGATTTGATCTGATTTGATCTGTTAGAACAAGAGAAATTAGAAGCACAGAAAAATAAAAAGAGAAAAAATGAAGTTTTAGAAGAGAAGTTTGAGAGACAGGAAACAGTAGAGGACAGTGGGACTTGGTATGAAGCTATTTCTCCTGAAGGATATCCCTATTATTGGAATTCCCTCACTAATGGTAGGTTTTTTACCAGTCATGTCTGACAGAAGCCTCAAAATGTCTGCCAGTAATTTTGGTGTTGGTGATATGAAAAAAATGAAATGAATGGAGTTTTACGTTTTACTACTTTTCTGCATCATGGGGGTTATTGCTGACAGGCAACGCCTTGCAGAGTGCACACGGGGCCTTGGTTTATTGTCTCATCCGAACAACTAGACATCTTTTTTCATGTCAGTCCCTCTTACATAAGTGAGAATAAAATTGCCATAAAAGGTGCAAGATATAAGATATAGGTTTTATTTGAGGACATATTTTATAATTAAAATGAAATGGGTTTAATGAATTTTTAGCAAGGATAATTGTAAACAACTACAAATCATTTAATAATTTTACAGAGCCAGTGTGGACAGCACCAGAGAAATATATATCTCTGGCAGAGCAGGAGAGATTACAGAATGGTGAAGTAGAGGAAGAACCAGACCCAGAGGTGACAGGGGCCAGGAATATACCTTTACCGGTAGGAATATAACAAATTTAAACTTTTTCTGTGAATTTCAAAATTGTGCCATGTTGTTTTACAACCATCAGAAAGTGACAAGATGAAAATATTGGAAATTGTTGTATGGTTAGGATATGATTTTTTTTTTCTTTTTAGCTTTAGCACTTTTTTGGTCAGAACTTTTATATATCAGCCTGACACTTCTGATCCTACCTGGTTTCTCAGATGTGATATTGTTACTTAAACTGTAATGATATTGCATCCAGATATCACGTGTAAAGAAATGGGTAGGAACCTGGTTTGTCAAGCGTTTTATATTTAGTACCCTTTTCTTCTTTATTTTACATGTTAGACTTATTTACTTATTTATTAATGTTTCCTTTCATCTGTTATATTTTATATTGATTGCAGGATGAAGAAGAAGCCCCACCCCCTGTAGAACCAGAACCCACCCCCCAGATACCACTACCTCCCCGTAAAGATCCAAAGAGTTCACGCTCAGTATTTGGTGGCTGGGAGACAGTTTCTGTTACTGAACTGTAAGTAAAGCCTAACTACTGGCTGTCCTGCCAATATTTCCTTCTTTGTACACTGAATGAGCTGATCTCTCAATACATTTTGAAAATTGAGGCTACATCTAGATTTCAATAATCTTATGATTATGTTAGTCTTCCATTCTACTGATAGGTCAACAGATAAATTGTATTATAAATCAGTGAATTTCTGTGTTACAATACAGATCAAAAACTGAGCCAGGGTCATTTGGGAGCACACACACAAATAAACAGTTCAGACATTCCTCTTGAAAACTGTGTTTGACGGTTACTCAGCGTGTGCCTTCAACATTACTACTTCACACAAACTGTGATAATAAACTTTGTCGCATCAGAGAATGATGAAATCTACATACCCAATTGTATTTCATATCTTTTTTTTTTCAGCCCCCCTCCCCCAGAAGATTTGTTGGTAGAGGACATACCTCTACCTGAACCAGATAGAGAACAGAAACCTCCAAAACAAAAATTCAGAGAAAAAACTGTTACTTCTTTAAACTCTAACCCTGGAGAGGTTGTGTCGTTTAAAAAACGGAAAGTGAGATCAGGTGCTAGGAATGCTAGACAGAGAGATACTGATGACTGACGGAAATTGAAAGATGTGGATGTTTATTGAAGTGTTACAGTCTGTAGAGTATTGAAGAGTGATGTTTTGAGCTGGGTATCGATTATCAAATTGAGATAGATTATCAATGACAGACTATAGATCAATAATCAATTAATAATCAAAATAATTCAACCCAGAAACCCTGTAAAAACGAAATTAAAAACATGACAAAATTCTTAATTTCATGGGTAATTTTATTTTTTAGAAGTATATTATTGCCTTGATCTGTTATTATAGTTTATTGCGGTTATGTTATGCGCTGAAGGGAAACTATGTAGAAGAGATTTCTACTTGTTAACGGGTACAGTGGAGAAAATATAACTTAAGACATGAAATTTGATAATCGATCATCGAAACTATAAATTTCTAGTGACGATAATTAATTTTTTCGATCATTATACCAGGCCCTAGTGTTGATGTCAACTGCTCCTACGTAAACACTGGTCGAGGTCACAAATAAAGAAATCTGCTAAAAACTAAGGCAGAGTTAACAGAGTTAGTGCTTAGTTTAGTACCTCAAAAACGTACCAGTCTACAACAAATCTAATAAATAGTAAAAACTAGTACGAAGAACTATTTTGATACTGTAACATATTCTGTACTATTAAAGATGATTATCATCAGAGTTGAATAAACAGAAACCAGATGGTGAAATATAGACAGTAGTCGGCTTTATTAATTTTCAGGTAGTTTCTTTCTTCCATAAAGTTTATAAAATCAAATGGTTTTATATTCACAAAGATTAAATGGAATTTTACATCATATTTGTATGCTCCTGATCGTATTAATGAGATGGGTAAGCCCTGTTATATGTAATGAAGGATAACCCTGTATATGTAATGAAGGATAACCCTGTATATGTAATGAAGGATAACCCTGTATATGTAATGAAGGATAATCTGTTATATGTAATGAAGGATAACCCTGTATATATGAAGGATAACCTGTTAGGTGTAATGAAGGATAACCCTGTATATGTGAAGGATAACCTGTTATGTGTAATGAAGGATAACCCTGTATATGTGAAGGATAATCTGTTATATGTATTGAAGGATTACCCTGTATATGTGAAGGATAATCTGTTATATGTAATGAAGGATAACCCTGTATATGTGAAGGATAACCTGTTAGGTGTAATGAAGGATAACCCTGTATATGTGAAGGATAACCTGTTATGTGTAATGAAGGATAACCCTGTATATGTCTGACTCGCATTGCTGAAGTACTAAACCTATTGCTTCCAGTACAAGGCAGTCTTACTGTAAAGACTGTTATTACAATATAGTATGGTATTTTAAATTTAGAAAATAAATGAAATGAGTATTAATTACAGTTGTTAACAAATTAGTGAGTTGATTTATCAATGTCTTGTACTTTGAATGAGTCTAGTTGTAAAACGACGCACCACTGCAGTGTGCAATAAGAAAATATTTCTTGGACAACTTCGACTTATTTCTGTCTGGAAAGTCCAATACAGATAACTGTGTACACTCTAGGACCTAGGTCATTAATCACAATGAACACTCAAAAATTCAATGTTTATTCATTCTGCTCACAATTAAAGTTGAAATGAAATGAATGGAGTTTTACATCCCTACTTCAATAATAAAGTTGATAGCTCGTGTACATTATAAATCTAACCCAGGTGTGCACGAAGTTCCTAACTGGACTTAACAGTGAATCTTTCATACTACATGTATAGACTTACGGCCTTCCTTTTTTAGGAAATTAGGAAAATTGACTCTTATCCGGAGCAGAACTTTTGAGAAAATTATTAGCTACTTTGATACCTGACTGCAGGTCTGATTTATAAAAAGTTTCGATTTAAATATTTTATATAGAAAAATTGAATGTTATAACAATTACACTAACACACAAGATAACAGAAATCTTACAAAACAATTTCTCATCATTTTATAACATTTACCAGACAGAGACCGGTAAATTTAACAAATCGTAGAATTGTAGTAACATACTATATGAACAATTACTGTTTTATAAAATCAAGATTTACTGAGGCCAGTCACTGACGTTAGCAATGATTCTACAAAATCATACCAGCGATATTTTACAAATCAATAATTAAACAAATATAATATAATATCAGCAGAATATTTTACACAACTCAACTCTTCACTCTAAATAAAGAATCACAAGATATATGATATACTATTTCTGTATTTATTAACTCAACGTTTCACATGCTCATACAGACAGTGTTATCAAATATTATATAGAATCACAAGATGTATGATATACTATTTCTAACATTTATTAACTCAATGTTTCACATGTTCATACAGACAGTGTTATCAAATATTATATAGAATCACTAGATATATAGATATACTATTTCTGACATTTATTAACTCAATGTTTCACATGTTCATACAGACAGTGTTATCAAATATTATATAGAATCACTAGATATACTATTTCTAACATTTATTAACTCAATGTTTCACATGTTCATACAGACAGTGTTATCAAATATTATATAGAATCACTAGATATACTATTTCTAACATTTATTAACTCAATGTTTCACATGTTCATACAGACAGTGTTATCTAGAGAATATCAGAAACAGTATTTACATATATCTTGTGATTCTTTATCTACTCCTATTTCTATTGGTCTTATAAACAGTATTCAACTAAATGTAAATATTTGTATCTGTGAAACTAAAAATCTTAAACAAAATTAGATATTCTACAAATCTCTTCATATTATCAACATCTCTAAACCTCAGCCCCCACTCCTACCCGGTACCCCCCCTTGATTATTTCATGTTAAGTATTACCCTCCTAATTAATGACTCCTAGAATTGTCAGTCAACCCCCCCCCCTCCCACCCCTCCTTTCTCAAATAATTGTACAATTAAAATGGTGACTCTGGCCTGTGGAATTTCAAAATGAAAAAGACCACAAATAAAACAAAATTGGCCCTTCTTTTCTAAGGTAGCTCAAAAGTAAAGTACCTGTATCTCAAGGGTTATCTAGCTTGGCCTCTATGAACCTCACTGACTATCTTTTATCTCCTGGCTGAAATAGTCAATATCAACTTCAGGATAACTTCGACCTTTAACCTTTACAATTCAAATATTTTATTTCTGTATCTGGGTCTAAATAAAAGTTTTAATATTTTTATTTAATAATTTATTAGAAACAATTGAAATATTTTGATATTACTTTTTAAGTAATTCTGAAGAATGATAAATCAGTGATATTATATATGATATGACATGCACACATACAGAAACTGAGTGTTGAAATAAAAAAAAAAATGGTTTGAAGATTATTGTTGGTGTTCATAACTTTTACAGCACAGTAATATGATTACTATATACTAAAACAGGCATGTTAACTTTCCAAGACTGATCTATTTCAGCTAACTTTGCTTCACACAAAACCATGACCACTTATTTGCTGCAAGCTTGAACATGTCATCCATCAATCAACACACTATATCCACTCCTCAACTCTTCTCTTTATAAATGCAACAATGTCTTGGTTCTTACAGCAGGGTCATTCTAGAGCCTGGCAATTCCTGCTAATTTTTCAGCATTGCAACTATAATTCTAATTCAGCAGCCATTTTGAAGCGTCTGACCATTTGTTCTTCACTAATCTTCAATACATCAATAAATTTCATGAAATACAACTATAAAAATATTCAACACTATCCCACAACGAGTCCCAGTCCGAATCGTGAAGTACCCTTAACATGATTCAAATAGCCACTAAATGCGAAGGTAAACGGAAAAGGAGTTATTTTTTTTTCCATTACAGCTCCCACACAATAATTGCTGTCAACTTGCCCCTTAAAAGTTACATTTGCGTTTGGAATTTCGATTTGATACCCAACAGTAGCTGTGCTATCACCCATCCGTAAACTTGTCTCTAGCTCTGCACCCAATTGCAAATGTTCACTAATTTTATGTACATAGCACCCATGAAAGTTGCCTGCTGTTGGACTGACATTCCCACTGAACTGCCAGTTGTCACTAGAAAGTTTCCCAGCGAATGACATGAACGCAATCTGTCCCCCAGGAACCTGATTTCCATATTGATAATGTAGCTCGGCACCGAGATCGAGTCTTCTCGTAACTCGCTGCAAATACTGACTGACAACTATACCAGATTCGTGTATCGGATCAATGTTTCCTAGGGTCACAGACGCCGTGTAATCGTCTCCCTTGTAATCGGTTGTGACTTGAGTAACAGCACATTTATTATTCTGTATCTGAACCACGCCCTTGCTGCGTATTCGCTCCGTAAAGGCGTGAATCACTTGTGCATTCAGGTCTCCACTAGCATCAATATCACCCAATATAACTGGGTAAGACTCTTGTGGACTGAGCTGTTTGCTGCCAATGTAGGTGCTACCAAATCTGTATCCTGATGGTTGACAGGTACTCAAAGCGAGCGTGTGACTGACTTGAAAATTACTGCTGAGGCCCTTAGAAATGACAAGTTTGCCTCCTTCGAAAATCTGGGGAAAAATATCCTTGCATCTTCGGTGTATTTCTTCAAACGTCCCTGGATTGTTGTCGAAAGGAACTTGAGCTAAAATAGGCTTCTCTTGCGTTGCAGGACTGCCGGCATCTTGACCTTGTGTCGGTGGCTGTGGAGGCAAGACAGGAGGGGGAGGGGCGAGTCCTCCCAGGGGTGTCGAGGAGGCAGATACGTTTCCCATTTCAAACTACACACCATACAATTTTGCACTTTCAAAATGTCTATTAAATTTCGAGTTATATAAGCGGGTAAATAGTTAAATTTCCAATAAGTCACCCTAATGCAACCATGTGCATTTGTTCTTTGCTGTGATTGGTTGAAACCTATCATGTGATAAATCAATTTCCGGATGATAACTTCCGGTTCAAGGTTCAAACGTTATAAAACGTACCCAATAGTTTTCTCAATGGTCATCCGAAAGATCTCGTATTCATTATTCAAAAAAGGTATTAATTAAATGAGTGTTTGTAACTCTCAATCTGAGAAACCTAAAAAATAGTCATGATTGTGAGGACAGAGAAATATAGAAAAATTCGTATACCTGTAGGATTCAAGGTATATAACTAAGAACGTTCTGTTCTAATAGGTCTATAGAATTCAAGGTATATAACTAATAATGTTCTGTTCTAATAGGTCTATAGAATTCAAGGTATATAGCTAAGCTAAGAATGTTCTGTTCTAATAGGTCTATAGAATTCAAGGTATATAACTAAGAATGTTCTGTTCTAATAGGTCTATAGAATTCAAGGTATATAACTAAGAACGTTCTGTTCTAATAGGTCTATAGGATTCAAGGTATATAACTAAGAACGTTCTGTTCTAATAGGTCTATAGAATTCAAGGTATATAACTAAGAACGTTCTGTTCTAATAGGTCTATAGAATTCAAGGTATATAGCTAAGAATGTTCTGTTCTAATAGGTCTATAGAATTCAAGGTATATAGCTAAGAACGTACTGTTCTAGTAGGTCTATAGAATTCAAGGTATATAGCTAAGAATGTTCTGTTCTAATAGGTCTATAGAATTCAAGGTATATAGCTAAGAACATACTGTTCTAATAGGTCTATAGAATTCAAGGTGTATAACTAAGAAAGTTCTGTTCTAATAGGTCTATAGAATTCAAGGTATATAGCTAAGAACATACTGTTCTAATAGGTCTATAGAATTCAAGGTGTATAACTAAGAAAGTTCTGTTCTAATAGGTCTATAGGATTCAAGGTATATAACTAAGAACGTTCTGTTCTAATAGGTCTATAGAATTCAAGGTATATAACTAAGAAAGTTCTGTTCTAATAGGTCTATAGAATTCAAGGTGTATAACTAAGAAAGTTCTGTTCTAATAGGTCTATAGAATTCAAGGTATATAGCTAAGAACGTACTGTTCTAGTAGGTCTATAGAATTCAAGGTATATAGCTAAGAATGTTCTGTTCTAATAGGTCTATAGAATTCAAGGTGTATAGCTAAGAATGTTCTGTTCTAATAGGTCTATAGAATTCAAGGTATATAGCTAAGAATGTTCTGTTCTAATAGGTCTATAGAATTCAAGGTATATAGCTAAGAATGTTCTGTTCTAATAGGTCTATAGAATTCAAGGTATATAGCTAAGAATGTTCTGTTCTAATAGGTCTATAGAATTCAAGGTATATAGCTAAGAATGTTCTGTTCTAATAGGTCTATAGAATTCAAGGTATATAACTAAGAATGTTCTGTTCTAATAGGTCTATAGAATTCAAGGTATATAGCTAAGAACGTTCTGTTCTAATAGGTCTATAGAATTCAAGGTATATAGCTAAGAACGTTCTGTTCTAATAGGTCTATAGGATTCAAGGTATATAACTAAGAATGTTCTGTTCTAATAGGTCTATAGAATTCAAGGTATATAGCTAAGAATGTTCTGTTCTAATAGGTCTATAGGATTCAAGGTATATAACTAAGAATGTTCTGTTCTAATAGGTCTATAGGATTCAAGGTATATAGCTAAGAACGTACTGTTCTAATAGGTCTATAGAATTCAAGGTATATAGCTAAGAATGTTCTGTTCTAATAGGTCTATAGAATTCAAGGTGTATAACTAAGAATGTTCTGTTCTAATAGGTCTATAGAATTCAAGGTGTATAACTAAGAATGTTCTGTTCTAATAGGTCTATAGAATACAAGGTGTATAACTAAGAATGTTCTGTTCTAATAGGTCTATAGAATTCAAGGTATATAACTAAGAATGTTCTGTTCTAATAGGTCTATAGAATTCAAGGTATATAGCTAAGAACGTACTGTTCTAATAGGTCTATAGGATTCAAGGTGTATAACTAAGAACGTACTGTTCTAATAGGTCTATAGAATTCAAGGTATATAACTAAGAATGTTCTGTTCTAATAGGTCTATAGAATTCAAGGTGTATAACTAAGAATGTTCTGTTCTAATAGGTCTATAGAATTCAAGATATATAGCTAAGAATGTTCTGTTCTAATAGGTCTATAGGATTCAAGGTATATAACTAAGAATGTTCTGTTCTAATAGGTCTATAGAATTCAAGGTGTATAACTAAGAATGTTCTGTTCTAATAGGTCTATAGAATTCAAGGTATATAACTAAGAATGTTCTGTTCTAATAGGTCTATAGAATTCAAGGTATATAGCTAAGAACGTTCTGTTCTAATAGGTCTATAGGATTCAAGGTGTATAACTAAGAATGTTCTGTTCTAATAGGTCTATAGGATTCAAGGTATATAACTAAGAATGTTCTGTTCTAATAGGTCTATAGAATTCAAGGTATATAGCTAAGAACGTTCTGTTCTAATAGGTCTATAGAATTCAAGGTATATAGCTAAGAACGTACTGTTCTAATAGGTCTACAGAATTCAAGGTATATAACTAAAAATGTTCTGTTCTAATAGGTCTATAGTATTCAAGGTATATAACTAAGAATGTTCTGTTCTAATAGGTCTATAGAATTCAAGGTATATAGCTAAGAATGTTCTGTTCTAATAGGTCTATAGGATTCAAGGTATATAACTAAGAATGTTCTGTTCTAATAGGTCTATAGAATTCAAGGTATATAGCTAAGAACGTACTGTTCTAATAGGTCTATAGAATTCAAGGTATATAGCTAAGAACGTACTGTTCTAATAGGTCTATAGAATTCAAGGTATATAACTAAGAATGTTCTGTTCTAATAGGTCTATAGAATTCAAGGTATATAGCTAAGAACGTTCTGTTCTAATAGGTCTATAGGATTCAAGGTGTATAACTAAGAATGTTCTATTCTAATAGGTCTATAGGATTCAAGGTATATAACTAAGAATGTTCTGTTCTAATAGGTCTATAGAATTCAAGGTATATAACTAAGAATGCTCTGTTCTAATAGGTCTATAGAATTCAAGGTATATAACTAAGAATGTTCTATTCTAATAGGTCTATAGAATTCAAGGTATATAGCTAAGAATGTTCTGTTCTAATAGGTCTATAGGATTCAAGGTATATAGCTAAGAATGTTCTGTTCTAATAGGTCTATAGGATTCAAGGTATATAGCTAAGAACGTACTGTTCTAATAGGTCTATAGAATTCAAGGTATATAGCTAAGAATGTTCTGTTCTAATAGGTCTATAGAATTCAAGGTGTATAACTAAGAATGTTCTGTTCTAATAGGTCTATAGAATTCTAGGTGTATAACTAAGAATGTTCTGTTCTAATAGGTCTATAGAATTCAAGGTGTATAACTAAGAATGTTCTGTTCTAATAGGTCTATAGAATTCAAGGTATATAACTAAGAATGTTCTGTTCTAATAGGTCTATAGAATTCAAGGTATATAGCTAAGAATGTTCTGTTCTAATAGGTCTATAGGATTCAAGGTATATAGCTAAGAACGTACTGTTCTAATAGTATTTCAATATGGCCAATTGAATCAGATAGATTTTTTTTTCTTTTTCTTTTTTCAATATAATTAAAGGGACAGGTGTGCCATCTTGGGGGTTGATTTTATTCTTAAATATATCAGAAATGTACGAAAATCACATAATTCCTTTAAAATACTTAAAACTAGGTATTTTATTCACTATCTCTATTATATGTCTTTTCTATATTTTACAGAGTATCTGTAATTGACGAGTCGTCATTTCACATTCAAACGCAGAACATGCGTGGATTTGAAGGCTCAAATTTCGGCATGATTGGTCAATAAAATGGCCTACGTGTCCCTTTAAAATCGGTTTGCCCAACAAGTTATTTTTAAGTTACCATCTAGAAATGATAATTCTGCTTCCTTGCCATTATATACGTATGTTTCCATCCCACATCCACCAGCTTTCGGTCTAATTAGACATAAAGACAAAGATCTAATTAGTTCACCGTCCGCATAAAGACCAAGATCTAATTAGTTGACCGTCCGCATAAAGACCAATATCTAATAAGTTCACCGTCCGCATAAAGACCAAGAGCAATATTTTCAGTTTATTGTTAAAATATAACAATCTTTAAACATAATTTAATAAAATCTCTCATATTATATATTGTAATAAATAATAAAATGTTTAATAAAATGACATTTTAGAAGTAGATAGAAATAAATAAGAACACTATTATACTCCTTACTATAATTTTTGCAACGTTTCAATTAAAGAAAGGAGTAGTATATCATCCTGATAGTGTTCTTATTTATTCAATGAAATATTTGTTCTCAATTTCACCATAAGTTTTAATTGCAACTAGGTCAATATGATAATTTCAGTAAGGCCTCGATATGAATTACACACCAATAGGTACCTCGGCCAGTGCTCTTATTAGACTGTGTTCTCATCACCATCTAACACCAATAGCCTATAAATATCCTATCAACCATACACATGAGTAACGTACTCTGTAATTGGACAAATCTAATAATAACGTATAGGTGTTATCATGAGCCACCCTCGTTGATTGTTGTCTGATTATAAAACATATAAAGAGAGTCGTCTCCCTGTATTTTGTATGTAATGTGCTTGTAAGAGTAAGTAGTTGAGTCAAGACGATAGAAATGAATAGAGAAATGGGTGTAAATATTTAAGCGCAAGTCCCTAAACGAACCCCCTGATGTTATACACGGCAAAATACTGTTGATTAGAGAAATTTAGAAACTAGGTCGAAATCCCTGAAGTCTCAAACTGAAAACATCTATACATGTAGAGTATTTGTTACTTTTTTATCATCACTTTTCCATGTAGAAATTCATTCAAATACAAATCATAAAACCATGTTGTTTTCACAAATCTGCGTTGGTTCTAATTTCACAACAAAACAGCAAATAAGTCTTATCATTAACATTATTATTATTTATATTATTTTGTTCATTTTTACAGGATTCCAGGAATCACAGGTTCACACTGTTCCACTCAATCAGGACATGACAGACTATCAGGTAGACGTGAGCTAATAGAGTCGTCACCAACATCATAGGGAAACCAACCCTGTTGATATAAACAGTATTATATATAGAATAAAAACCCTGTTAATATAAACAGTTTTATATATAGAATACCAACCCTGTTAATATAAACAGTATTATATATAGAATACCAACCCTGTTAATATAAACAGTATTATATATAGAATACCCACCCTGTTAATATAAACAGTATTATATATAGGAAACCAACCCTGTTAATATAAACAGTATTATATATAGAATACAAACCCTGTTAATATAAACAGTATTATATATAGGAAACCAACCCTGTTAATATAAACAGTATTATATATAGAATACCAACCCTGTTAATATAAACTGTATTATATATAGAATACCAACCCTGTTTATATAAACAGTACTATATATAGAATACCAACCCTGTTAATATAAATAGTATTATATATTGAATACCAACACTGTTAATATAAACTGTATTATATATAGAATACCAACCCTGTTAATATAAACAGTATTATATATAGAATACCAACCCTGTTAATATAAACAGTATTATATATAGAATACCAACCCTGTTAATATAAACAGTATTATATGTAGAATACCAACCCTGTTAATATAAACAGTATTATATATAGAATACCAACCCTGTTAATATAAACAGTATTATATATAGAATACCAACCCTGTTAATATAAACAGTATTATATATAGAATACCAACCCTGTTCATATAAACAGTATTATATATAGAATACCAACCCTGTTCATATAAACAGTATTATATATAGAATACCAACCCTGTTCATATAAACAGTATTATATATAGAATACCAACCCTGTTCATATAATCAGTATTATATATAGAATACCAACCCTGTTCATATAATCAGTATTATATATAGAATACCAACCCTGTTAATATAATCAGTATTATATATAGAATACCAACCCTGTTCATATAATCAGTATTCTATATAGAATACCAACCCTGTTAATATAAACAGTATTATATATAGAATACCAACCCTGTTCATATAATCAGTATTATATATAGAATACCAACCCTGTTCATATAATCAGTATTATATATAGAATACCAACCCTGTTCATATAAACAGTATTATATATAGAATACCAACCCTGTTAATATAAACAGTATTATATATAGAATACCAACCCTGTTAATATAAACAGTATTATACATAGAATACCAACCCTGTTAATATAAACAGTATTATATATAGAATACCAACCCTGTTAATATAAATAGTATTATATATTGAATACCAACCCTGTTTATATAAACAGTATTATATATAGAATACCAACCCTGTTAATATAAACAGTATTATATATAGAATACCAACCCTGTTAATATAAACAGTATTATATATAGAATACCAACCCTGTTAATATAAACAGTATTATATATAGAATACCAACCCTGTATTATATATAGAATACCAACCCTGTTAATATAAACAGTATTATATAGGAATAAAATAAAGTTAAACGCCTTACTTTTCTACTGATAGTGCTAGGAATGGCGGGATACGTCATGCTGAGTGCAATGAGTGAAATGTTGCCAGGACCTCGCAACGATAATGAAGAAAGATTTCGTCAGCACAATGGTAATGAATCTGAACTAACGAGATTTTGATTGAGCTCATGAGACGGACACTATATGCAATCATGGACAGGACAATAGACACGGATATTTTGTTTTTTAGTTTCAAACTATCGAGTTTTTAATGAAATATAATTACAAGTCATTGAATCATACGATTCTCTACTAACTTGAAAAATTCAGCAAAAGTGATACCATATCCATGTTGTTCTGCTATACCAGTACAAACAACATTAGCAGACGCACCGATTAACGTTCCATTCCCGCCTAAACAGGCACCAAAAGCAAGGGCCATAACCAGTGGTAAAATTGGTAAATCTAATTCCGGGTTCTCACTGATGTTGACTAGAACTGGAACCTGAAATACAAATCAACCAATCAAATTCATCTAAATTATTTACTCCAAACCGGATGCCCCAGATGTCCTACTCCATTGGAAAACTAAACTGGTACCCTGTTGTGCTCTCTTATCGCTACACTAATCTTCGGTGCAAAGCTTTAGATAGTATGGCGGACTAGTTTATCGGAACATCAGACGTCAACTACCATCGCGAATAAAGTATTCAGAATTTTAAGGCGAGGCGTTTTCTAGCCTCGTTTTCTTTCGGTCGTCTCCCCTTTTCCTCTCTAGCAGCCAGAATAACGCGATAGTTTAGTATTCTAGTTAGTTGGCAACAGTTCCCAATGAGATGAGTAGAAACCATCTTGAAACACGACTAATCAACTCACCATGGCCGTAGTATAAGGTATATTATCTATAAAACTAGAAGCTATTGCGGAAATCCAGATGATTATAGACACCGCTGCTATAGTCCGAGAATCTGGCTCTACACTTTCTATTATCTGACTGACCAGGTTTCCGATTTCTTGGATTAACCCCAACTCCGCCAACGCCTACAAAAGATCATCGGATTGTACTGAGTAAGAATATTGTTTTGTTTGATAGGCGAGTAAACTTTATGAGAGCTGGGGCTGAATAACAACTTTTGCAAAGAAAATGTTCATTGTACATGGAATATTATTGTTTTAATAAAATTTGAAGGGTTTAATATTTTACATTAGAAAAAAACTCCTCAGATAAAATCTCACCTCCATTAGGACAAATAAAGCCGAGAAGAAAAGAAGAGTTGACCATTCGACTTTATGTAAAATATTATCAATATCAGCAATATTAGCTATAACTATCAACCATACAGCCCCTGTTACAGCTGTCCAACCTAGAATTATAATAGAATAGAGTTTTATATCCTATATTAGCTATAACTATCAACCATACAGCCCCTGTTACAGCTGTCCAACCTAGAATTATAATAGAATAGAGTTTTATATCCTATATTAGCTATAACTATCAACCATACAGTCCCTGTTACAGCTGTCCAACCTAGAATTATAATAGAATAGAGTTTTATATCCTATATTAGCTATAACTATCAACTATACAGTCCTCGTTACAGCTGTCTAACCTAGAATTATAATAGAATAGAGTTTTATATCCTATATTAGCTATAACTATCAACTATACAGTCCTCGTTACAGCTGTCTAACCTAGAATTATAATAGAATAGAGTTTTATATCCTATATTAGCTATAACTATCAACTATACAGTCCTCGTTACTACTGTCTAACCTAGAATTATAATAGAATAGAGTTTTATATCCTATATTAGCTATAACTATCAACCATACAGTCCCTGTTACAGCTGTCCAACCTAGAATTATAATAGAATAGAGTTTTATATCCTATATTAGCTATAACTATCAACCATACAGTCCCTGTTACAGCTGTCCAACCTAGAATTATAATAGAATAGAGTTTTATATCCTATATTAGCTATAACTATCAACTATACAGTCCTCGTTACTACTGTCTAACCTAGAATTATAATAGAATAGAGTTTTATATCCTATATTAGCTATAATACAGTCCTCGTTACTACTGTCTAACCTAGAATTATAATAGAATAGAGTTTTATATTCTATATTAGCTATAACTATCAACTATACAGTCCCCGTTACTACTGTCTAACCTAGAATTATAATAGAATAGAGTTTTATATCCTATATTAGCTATAACTATCAACTATACAGTCCTCGTTACTACTGTCTAACCTAGAATTATAATAGACTAGAGTTTTATATCCTATATTAGCTATAACTATCAACTATACAGTCCCTGTTACAGCTGTCCAACCTAGAATTATAATAGAATAGAGTTTTATATTCTATATTAGCTATAACTATCAACTATACAGTCCCCGTTACTACTGTCTAACCTAGAATTATAATAGAATAGAGTTTTATATCCTATATTAGCTATAACTATCAACTATACAGTCCTCGTTACTACTGTCTAACCTAGAATTATAATAGAATAGAGTTTTATATTCTATATTAGCTATAACTATCAACTATACAGTCCTCGTCACTACTGTCTAACCTAGAATTATAATAGAATAGAGTTTTATATTCTATATTAGCTATAACTATCAACTATACAGTCCTCGTTACTACTGTCTAACCTAGAATTATAATAGAATAGAGTTTTATATTCTATATTAGCTATAACTATCAACTATACAGTCCTCGTTACTACTGTCTAACCTAGAATTATAATAGAATAGAGTTTTATATCCTATATTAGCTATAACTATCAACTATACAGTCCTCGTTACTACTGTCTAACCTAGAATTATAATAGACTAGAGTTTTATATTCTATATTAGCTATAACTATCAACTATACAGTCCTCGTTACTACTGTCTAACCTAGAATTATAATAGACTAGAGTTTTATATCCTATATTAGCTATAACTATCAACTATACAGTCCTCGTTACTACTGTCTAACCTAGAATTATAATAGAATAGAGTTTTATATCCTATATTAGCTATAACTATCAACCATACAGTCCCTGTTACAGCTGTCCAACCTAGAATTATAATAGAATAGAGTTTTATATCCTATATTAGCTATAACTATCAACTATACAGTCCTCGTTACTACTGTCTAACCTAGAATTATAATAGAATAGAGTGAACGATCGGATAGAAAACGAAGACGTATCTCTCAAACGCAAATAACTAGCTACGATGACGTATATAAAGACCACGATTCCAAGTCGCGAAAATATTATTTGTCTGCCTGAGGTTTTTTCTGTCGCTGTCCGAAAAGATATTTGTAGCTATCGACATTTCAACCCTTCAAAATTTTCGGACCAGAAAACCTTATTGTGACCTATTTTTTAGTCATTTTCTGTCGAATTATTGAGAGAGAAATGTGAAATTTATAAATGTTAACAATGGAAACTTGATATATTTATCAATATGTTGTAATAAAAGATAAAACGATCCTTACCTATTCCTACATGAATAGAAGGAACGAATGAATGAATAAATAAAACCAGAATGACGGTTGATAAAACTATACCACTCTTCACTAACAGCCATGGATCTGTGATTTTATACTAAAAAAAACAACACAGATTTCAGGACTTTCATATACTAACCTTGATTCAACGATCCGATATTCTCATTACTATTATTGACTGGTCGAGATTTATTTATCAACCAATTATAACCATTGAAACAAAATCCCCCAAATTAAATAGAGCTTTACGTCTTACTTTTCTGTGCCTGATGAAGCTAATGAAATGTGGCCAACATTCACGCACACTTATCAATTTTCAACAGTCTAGGATAATAAGAGCGTTCATTCTGTAGCACAAGAGACCAATACCGACTTTATCACAGATATATTCAAATGGGTTTTGGATGAAAACTGAAGTTAAAGGGATTGTAAAGAGCTTTTCTAAAAAATTTATATCTATCGGGGTCATTACTAACTTCTTTTCGCATCATTGCATCAAATGTTCTACCAGATGTTACAAGAGCTGCTAGAAATATCTACAAAAATTACGACAGCCACTTTACAAAAGCTTAGTTATAGGGAATTGCAGGAACCACAGACGTCTGACTGTAAATTGGAATGGTTCCAATTGATAAATCGATTTTATCAGTGTTAGTAATTCATATAAAAAGTTTAGAAAACCTCTTACAATCTCTTTAACCTTGGCACCTGAACTGCTATGTTAAAGGTTTTTGTATGAAAATTGAAATGTTGTTAATTAAAGTTCCTATTTATTACCTTTTTCTGTAATTCGTCATAAGTGTCTGTAAAATCTCTTTTCTTGGCTTTTCTGGAAAAATAATATAATGATTTAATTGACAATAAGTAAGATCCTAATTGTAAAAACAAAGACCAATAAGCTGTTTTTAACCATTAGTTCTTGATGATTTCGATATTTTGATTTCCAGTCAGCAGCGTATTTAAGGGGTAATTACGATCCTCGATACTCCAATGTTTTCTGTCTGGTATCTGTGTTGTGCTAGTCGATCAAACCGTACATTAACAATGAGTCGAAGGTACTTCATCAGGAAACTTCAGAACTAGACTATAAAAAATTTTAGAGGAGGGCGGGGGTGGGGGGATCAACACCGGACTAGCCACAGTTTAGAGTAACATCACCCCATAAAAGCGTCACTGCTAATTCATCAGTTATAAAGTAGATTCCCAACCTCTGTCTATGAAGTTCTCGGTTCAGTTCGTTCTCCAGTTCGACAGATTTCTGTAGAAATAAAACTCTCATTACACTCTCTTCTCGAGTTACTACAGAAATTCTAGACGCTGCTTTCTTCCACAGACCTATCTCGTGGCGTAACTCTAAAATATAGAAAACAGAATCTCACACTTTCTCATTCATTTCAATCTCTGGGATTCAAGAATCTTCAGAACTCATTGGATACATGTCGTTTTCCTTGCGATTGCTGTGGATGTTAATTTCTACAAAGGGACAGATTCGCCATTTTCGGGGTTGACTTGGAACTTGAATACATGACTGTAAATAGTCTTCAGAAGTACTAGAAATGAACAAAAATCGCATAATTCCTTAAGGATAGCTCAAACTAGGAATTTTACTCACTATTTCTATATGAGAGTCGATAATTCTGGACACACATGGAATTGAAGGTTCAAATTTCGACAGTGTGCTTTGAACACTATAACTAATTAGTTTAGCTGAAAATTCCCATTTCTAAGACTAAGGTCCGATTGGTAAGAAAAAATTGCGAATCTGTCCGTTTCAAAATTATAAGAGCTTGTGATACAACTCAATTTAATACAATGTTCCACTGTCAATGTTCCTATAACAATACAGATTTAGCTTTACAAAAACTGCCGAGAATTACCGAATGAGTAACACTAGTTCAACAACACTAACCTCTAACTTCTGGTGATTCTGGGTTTTTCAGATTTTCAGCGTTTCTATAATAAAACCTCAACAACCCGTAGGCGCCGACAATAATAAATAATATTCCCAGGAACGCGTGAACTGTAAAAACTGAAAATGAGATTCCCTGAAAAGACGAACCAAACAATTTAATTATTTTTACCAAAAATACAAAGTTATAGAGACAAAGTGAAAGACAACGTATTTGGAACTGTGTAAACAAGTCAAGATCTCTGTATAGATTAAAACTACGATAGAAGAGTTTTAAAATTCAGTATCTCGAGGGGTTTGTCATGATGTTTTTTCCGAGAAAATTGGTTTCAAATTTCATAAAAATCCGAATGAAAGTGTTTTACCTGACTTACAAACCTACTAGGACTCATTGACTGTTTTTTTGTTTATTTGAAAAAATAAGTAAAAAGGGGCACAACTCGTACTTTCAAACCTCGGTCATTTCATCAACCAGTGAGCTAGACATGTTCATTGTCCGTTGGATCCTCTGCATTATACAAATACACCTTACGCCATGTATGGAAGTTTTACGTATGTCGGAGAAGTAAGTACGTATGTCGGAGGAGTAAGTAATGATGTAGGTAGCGAACAGGGGCCACTATACCCAGACTAATATACAGTACAAATATTCAGAAAAATTCGCTTGAACACAATCAGCACCTCTGGTCCACATGAGTTAACCATCATGATCGCTATTTGTTTATAAATTCAAAACATTCTCGGTGAAGAGACATTTTCTGGCAAAGGGATGCAACTCGTATCTACAAACGTGATCAATTCCGCTGACGACCACTTAGTTAGACTATATATTTCATAAAGGTTTGAAGGTTAACTACCCCGGGATTTTAAAGAGTAAATTTCTGGGATCTGTCAGAAACAGGAGATGACGTCACTAAAGAATGGATGAGCCTAAAAATAGAACGTAACAGTAAGTTACGCCTGAAATACGTAATTATTAGCTGGTGATGATACGGTGCTACGAGTTCAGGGAAATGTCCACAACCCCATTCCTTGTTAAGTGACAGCCACAAATAGAGACGAAAAGGTGTGTTGTCCGGTAAGCGCTGAAGTTTTACACGCTAGTTTTGGGGGTGTGAAGGCCGTGGATGACGATCTTGGTGCTGTAGCAAATATTTTGGACTGTTCTGACCTACCTGACTACTCAGTGCCCCTACTATTATCACATTGGGAGGGTCACCAATGGCTGTAGCTGTCCCTCCAATATTAGAAAATAAAACTTCGGCTATTAAAATCTGTTTTGGGTCCAGATTCAATACTTCACACAATCTGAAAGAGTCGGGATCAGAAACTGATGCAATTAAAGAATATAGTAATAGTGTTATTTTGGTCTCTAATCAGTCGTTAATTACATTGAAATCTTGTAGGGGGACTTCATTGTGGTCGCTTATTGAAGATATTATAGGTAGTCGTGTGAACAGGATATACTGTAATGGATAAAACACGGCAGATGATTTTCGTGATATTTAAAATCCTGAATCCCGAAGAAACTGTTTTATCTAATTCATCGTATTCACCTCATTTGCTGTTGTTTTTTTTGTGTGGAAAATTTAATCAATGACGACGCCACTAAGTCATACGCCCTCAGCCATATAACCA